CGAGAGAGGAGGGCATGTACAGTAACAGAGGGCCGTATGTGGGGCTTGGAGATGCCTTCCAGGCCACGCCCACCTGCAGAAGCTATAGATGTTGCCGTTTCAGTGGTCCCCCTCTTCACAGCGAGGACGTCCAACAGCTGAACAAGTCCTAAGTCCGACTGACCAACTGCAGGGAGAGGCACTTAGTGAAGTTGTCCAGCACCTGGTTGCTCCTCATCCTTTAAATCTGCGCCCCATCTTCATCTCCAGGCTAATCCCAGAGGCTGCATCCTCGCCTTCATCCTCGTCTCCTGCAAGCTGAAGCTTTGAGAGGTCATGCCGGGCATCGCTCCCCTCCTCCGAGTCCTCCTGCTGCTGCTCGAGGGCACGACTCTCCTCAGCGGCATCCCTGCACAGAGGATCAGAGGCAAGTGCACAAAACGGCATGCAAAAAAACCCAAGTTGCATAGCGTAATGGGAAGTCAACGGGGTAGCACGGGCATGAAAGAGAGCAGAAATAAGTAAAGTAACAGAGCTGTAATAATAAAAATGCAAAAACTAAAAGAGTAAATGGCTCATTTCATGCATGAATGAAACAGATTGGCATAAAGTTGTGAAACAAAAGATGGTGACATGCTTACAAGTAGTACTAAGCAATAGGAGGTTTGAAATAAATGAGGAAAATGTACAGAAATAAATGCTAAAAGAATGGAAGTAAGTGGGTGAAATGTCTACAGAAAAGAAACAAATAGTTGTGAAACAAAGTGGCATCAACTTGATAACAATGTAATACAGCAAATGTAGAATAATGTTTGCAGCAACAAAAATGTGTCCGTGGGTCTGTCAAACAGGATGGATGTAATAATTAATATGTGAACACGTGTGCATAGGATGGCAAAGTCGTGAGGTGTGAGAAGAAAAAAAGTCAGGTTTAAGTCACGAAAATGTGGAAAAGTGCAAAGATGAAAGTAAATGGATGTAGGAGATTTAGGCAGGAAGCAATGCAGGTACACAAGAGTGAAAATAAATGGTTAAATTATAAAGTAGGAGTAGGGATGAAAAATCTGTCCACAGAAGACGCATAAACATAAGAGAAAAAGAGAAAGCATTAAAGTTATGAGGACAACGCTAGAAGTGCTAAAGTCAGCATGATGATTGGGTGCAGGCAGGCAAATATCTCAAACGTGTCCAAATTAGTTCAATGTGATGAGTTTATTGAATCTTTTGACACATGAGGAAACCCTGAGGAAACTGAATGTTTAAGAGCTGAACAGCGTTTTCATGCTGCTACTTGTCCCAAGTTTTAGCAGAATTAGCAGATTTCCCTGGTTGGAGCGCCTGCTTATCCTTCAGTGTTCCTGCACATAAAAAAAGACTCATTTGTGAATAGATTTGAGTTTTTGTCTTGCTTAATCTGCCATGTGTGCCGTTAATGACCTGTGCAGCTCTTCGCCTGCAGGTGCTTGCCTGATTCTGTCATCAGTGCGTTCTCTCCTTTCTGCTGACTCGGCTTCTTTGGCTGCAATAATGGTCTGCAGCTGCGGAGAAGTGACAGAATACTCTTTCAGAACACTTTATAATACATGCATTTTGGCCTTTTCCTGATTGCCTTTTGGCTGAGTGTTGAGGTGGATTTTGGTTCGGTGTCTTTGTCAGCTCCTGCAGCCAGGCTTTGCTGCAGGTTGTGCCTGCCCCGGCCCGATGGGAGGAGGGGCTAATTCATGAAATAACCTGTCATTTTTTTCTGCCTCATTGAGCTTTTTATGTTATGTAAGATGATAAAATCCCCCTCATTCAGAGAGACACGGTGGGCTGACGTGACAGCTCAGAGAAGATTACCTCACCAGGTCAGAGACAGCCAAGAGCAACATAGAGGGACAGAGAGAGTGAGTGATGTGTTTGGAGGAGCTCCGTGGTTTTTTTTTTTTCCAGTTTGTTTTATCTTTTTTTGCATATATTTTCCGCAGTTCTTTCTTTATAGGGAAGTTTATTGGTGGCAAAAGTACAGAGTGAGCAAAAATGTAATTAATGTGGTGAAGAATAAGAAGCACACAGGGACACGTGTGTAAATGTGGAACAAGTTTCGTGCTAAGTCCTGCTTTGATTTTGTTTGTTTCAGCTAGCTTTGTTTCAGATTCGGGGGATCCTTGACAACAGTTTCATCAGGCCACGCCCACATACAGCTGTTAGATTCAGTTTTTATACCGAAGCTCTTAAAGGGAAAAGTTAACTAGCCAAACAGGTTATTACGGGGCTCTCAGTGTTTGTAAAACAAAGACCAGTTGCAGGGGTTTTGTCATTGTTAAACTTCCATACAACTCCTGTTTTAGTTTTCTGGGCAGCTGCTTCAAAAAACAGCTGTTTCCCATTATTTTCGTTGAATACATCTAGGTACAAATAGAATTCGAGGGTTATAATTTTGCACGTGTAACTGTTTCTTCACATTTTTCCCTGTGCAAACTCAGAGTGGATGTAAAGCTTGTCCTATCAAAGAAATGCCATGAAATATTGCAAAAAGATTTCTCTTTTGACTTATTGTGTAAAACGATAAGGTGTCACTAACAATAATTTTTTTCTCTATTCTTCATTTTTATTAAATACCTCTCTAATTTGTTTGGTTTCTCTTTGAACTGTTTCTCCCCTTAAAAGCAGCCAAACTGAGTTTTTTTTTTTTTAACATAATGTTGCAGTTGACCTGAAGGGGCCCCCCTTTTTCGCCTTTTTTTTGGGGTCATTTATATAAAAAAAAAAAACAACCCAAGGTTAGTCCCCACTTAAATGCTAAAACATGCAATATCTTTTGAGGCACCAGCAGTTAGTCAGTCCCCACAGACTCCCCATTAAAATGTCCAGCTTTACTCGAGAAGCCAACATGTTTGGAGTCGGATACACAAACAGATTTAATTATTACAAATGTAACTTCAGTTGCAGGTGACCTGCAGGGGGCACTAAGTAACATTTTTGTACTTTCATTGATTAGTTGATGAATTTTAATTGTATGAGTGGGTGGGTTTTTGATGCTGTTTCGTAGCTTACCTTTAGGGTGCCGTGACACATCTCATGATAACTAACATTTTATGTTCAGTAAATTAAATCCAGTTACACAAAAACCATCTGGAGGTGTGGCCAAAAGGGGGTGCAGGATCAATGTGCAGTCTTTTTCTCATGGAGTTTTTCAAATAAATAACTTTGAAGATTATTTCAGGATCAGTTTCAGGCTTAAAGTTGAGTTTCAGCATGTTTTAGTTCTTTGTGTATTTTCTTTTGGGGGGATTTCCCACCTGAAAGATGATAACAACCCTCACTGAAGCCAGCAGCAGGAGCAGACGCTTGGAGGTCTAGAGATACCGGGGCCTGTGCTGTATCACAGACGACTGTTTGAGTTCCACCACACTGTTTTACCGTTGCTGCTAATGAGCTGGCTTGCTCTGTTGTCTGGTGGCATTTCTTCCCTTAAAAGGAGCTGCTGCACACTGAGTGTGTGCAGAAACAGACTCCAGACTGCACGCAGGTGATTTCTTTTGCTAACTGGAAAATGTTATGTGTGTCTCTCTGGTCGTCCGACTACGACCAGTACCTTCTAATACTGCATCTTGTGTGGTGGTTTATTGTTCATGTTTTGTTGCAGTACTCGGTGACTCATGTATCACTTTTTGGTACAACATTATCTTTCAGTTCATTTTGATGTTTTGCTGTACTTCTAATGTAATTCTTAGTGGTAGTTATTTTGGAACCTTTCTGGGTTATGAGCAGTTTATAGCTGCTCTTTGTGCATAGTAATACTTTATGTGTTCTTTGTGGATCAGATGCCGTTTTATAGTACTTTGGATTGTTTTTTCCCACAGTACTTTGATGTAACAGTTTGGTTTCTTGTAGTATTTTAGCCTTTGTTAGGACTTTGTGCTCCTTTTTGGTACTTTATTTTGAGCAGTTTTGTGGTACTTTCCGATTCATAGCAGTGTAAGTTTAGAGTAGCTTTATATTTACTTTGATGCACTTGGTTCATTACTGTTTGTTTGTGCTACCTGGTGACATAGTTAATGTATAGTTCTTTATACTACATGGCAGTACTTGTTCTTTGGTTTTCATATTTTGCACACTTGGGTGATTTTTCTGTACTTTTACCTCCTTGTGATACCCTTTTCTTGTAGTAAGATGAAGTAAAAGACCTGTTTTAGTACTCTTGTTGGTAATTGTTGAGTTCTTATGGTTGTTTTTTGTGCTTCTGGGCATTTGGCTCTGTGCTGTAAGAATTTATAGAAAATGTTATGCTTTTTTGACTGTCTTTTGTAATGTTGCAGGTATTTAATGTAGCACATGTGATGATGTTAGTTGATGAGAACACTGATAGCTTTTTGAGCTATTACTGTTTGTGGGTTTATTTTAAGATTTTTTATAGTACTTTTGGTTACTTGCTGGAGTACTTTTTCTTCCATTTGACGCTGGTTTCGTGGGTACTTGTGGTATTTTGTTGTACTTAATGTCTCTTCATTAGGGTCCATTTGTTCCTAAGGAAAAATGAGAGTCATTACAGAGATATAAGAGTTTGACACACCGAGAAAACTGCTGCAGCTGGGATATGTTGTCCATGCTTTTGGGAGGGGGAACCCTCGTCTATATTAAGCACTGTTTTTTGTTTGTTTTTTTCCGTGGGGGTGGGGGGCTGATGTCTGTCATGATGTTGAGGTTTATCCCTCCGCCTTCGACAGGCCAAACAGCGGTGCCAAGAATGAGCTACATGATTCCACACGTCCAGCATGTTGGCCTCTCTGCAGGCTTTTCTCATACTGATCTGCATGAACAAACAGCCCAAAGAAAACCTAGACAAGATGATGGACTGGATGTACTTGAACACAATGACATGCTTGGAAAAATCCAAACCTTACAAAAATAAAAAATAAAAAATAAAACACTTGTCTAGTGATTGGGCACATGCCGTTCCTCGCAGGAGGCTTTAATGCCTAATTAGACCTGATTGTTCCACTGAGCTTCTGCACAGAGAGTTAATCAGCTAAAACAACAGTTCAGAAACAGAAAAATGCTCCTCTGCTGGAATTTATCACTTCAAACTGCTCAATTGGGCTCCACATTAACCTGTAGTCACTTCTATGAAAGGATGTGTCTTCCAGCAGCAGCTGATTTAACCTTCCTCTATTTAAGGCTGAATAACCGCTCACATAAACATCACAGAGCCTCAGTTGATGGCTTCAGCTGATAGAGATACTTGGATCATAAAAGGTAGGAGCACAATTTACAGATCACAGTGTTTTTTATGAAAGGTTTGAGGCAATAAATCTTCGTTAAAGACCTACAAAGTCAAAAATTGTCAACATTCCAGCATTCAATATCATCTACATGGGCTTTGCAACACCATTACAATTCAGTTTCAGTTCAGTTTTATCTACAGTATATGGCACTAAACAACAGTTGCCGCAGGGTGCTTTATATCAAGAAGGTAAGGTGAAGACTGTACATAACACAAAGAAAAGACTGAAACTCCAACAATCCGATCACCTGCCTATGGGAAAGTGCTTTGGCCACAGTGGGAAGGAAAAACTCCCTTTTAACAGAAATAAACCTGCAGCAGAACCACACAAAGCAAGGGGCAGCACCTAAATTGGTGCACATTAAGTTGCTGCAGCAATCTTAAAAAAAACTGGACATTTTTAAATACAGTGTTTTTACAAACAAATTTGTTTGTAATATTACAAATTTGCAGCGTTACATGGCATTGTATTTGGATCATAAATGTACCGGTATATAAAAAATCCTTACAATTTTCTGAGATACTGCATTGTGGTGACAGCTAGACAAGATCTACCTGATAAGATAGATTATCAGAAGCTAGAGAATAATAACAACTGTGTAGTGAAGTTCTGTGTTCAGAGTAGAAACATTTTAAAGACAGAGGAATTTTTGGGATTACATGTGGGAAACCTTACAAAAATCCAGCTAACAGGTTCGTTATGCTGGGACTGGTTTGCAGTTCGTCAGAAGCCAGTCTGAATGTTACCATAGCTCGGAAAGCCACATGAAGGCACGGAGAGGAACATGAAGCGTCACATGTGTGATTGCCTCGTCATTGAGTTTTCATGGTGTGGATTCAAGAGAAAACCAAATGCAGATGAGCTCTTAACAGCTTCATCATGTTCAAGCAAGTCGGTCCTCTTTAAATGGTGGGAAAGTGTTGGAAAAACAAGCAACCCTGGCTGATGTGGAAAACTTAAAGAGGCTGCAAGTCCTGCTGATTCAGCCATTTTAGGTTTAGGACTTTCCAGGTCAAAGTTTGAGTTCTTCTGGTGTATTCACATGAAATAACCTTGTTTTGGGTACAGTTGGACATTCTCAGCCTGTATCACTTCGCGGGTAGTTGAAGTGTCTGCTGAACTCTCAGTTTACAGTGTTTCATTGATGTACTGTTACTGTGACGCTAAAGGAAAACTGAAAACAGACTGATTCCCAGGCAGCTTCTGAACGTCTTTTCTCCAGTTTCTGAGTGGATTATCAGAGATAATGATGCACAGGAAATGGAAGTCAAATCTGTTTCATGTCTGTGAGTTCTGACTCTGAGGAGGCTAAGTTTGATGCTGGCTTGGTTTAAAGCAGCTTATTCACAGAGTAATTTGGACCTCCTCGTGCTTTCCTGTGTTTGGACACTGTCAGAGCTCTGGGGCCTGGAAAATAAAAAGTTTATAGAGAAAACCCTGCAGGACTGAAACATTTTGTCCTTGTTAAAATTTTAAGTGTGGACCATGATGATGCACTTGAACCCTGCAGACAGAGGTCAGGAGGATCTGCCACTGGACACCAAACATGCTCATTAACTGCTTGAGCAGAGGCTCTGAGGGAAATCGTAAAAGCCCATGAAAAACAGAGATATACAGACAGTGGATTGTAGATGAGATATCCATCTCAGCGTGAAATGTAATCAAAGCATGACTTCCCCTACAGAACAGACTGTATCTTCAGACTGGAATGTTCAGTCCAGTCAGAAACTTCCATGTTACTGGACTATAAACTGGACAGAGCTTAGAATAGAGCCAGTATTCATCCAGTTGAGGTGGTTCGGCCATCTAATCCAAATGCCTTCTGGACACCAGCCCAGGTTTTCTGGGCATGGAATGCCAAGCTCTGAGGAGACCATAACGTACACCAATATCATGAAACCAGTTGTATATCCCATGGATCTCTCTCAGGATCCCACAGGAGGAATTGGAAAACCTGAGGAAAGGATTGTCTTGAATATAACTTTGGGTAAGAAGAAGAAAATTGACAGACATAATTCTTGTGTCTTTGAAATAAATTTCTGGCAGCTTCATTTTGTAATAAAAGTGTTGGAAAACTCTAAAAACTCTTTCCATCATCAGGAATTTAATATAGCATTTATTCCAAAAATGACGTCCCCAAACATATAAAACAGAATCTCAATAACCTGTCAAGGGAAATGTGGTTTCTCTCCAACAAACAACAAACAAAGCAAACAAAAACAAGAAACATTTTAAAATTGTCTCGTTTGAAGACATCGTGCAACACTGGCCGTCTGTGTTGCAGGATTCTATATAGGATCTCTTTTGTCATTGGTCCTCCAAGAGAAAATAGCATTATTTTAGAGACCTAAAAAATCCACACTGTGCTGATTGATTATTGTGCTGTTCATGTAATTGACATGTTAATTCTGAGAACTGGTTTGTGTCCTTTATGGACGTTTTATGAACTTGGTCTAGATTCTTGCTTAGGTCCAGGCACTAACCTAAACCTGCATGGTTTAGGTTTTTGTTTGATGGAGCTTTAAATCAATAAAACTTTCACCATGGTTTGTTTTTACTGCCTTTGATTTCTAAAAACATAACCTTTACTCGTTTTTTTTTCAGTTGCAGTGAGATTATCTTGGTTTGTTTTAGGAAAAGGTCCTGCTTTGTGTTAAAATAAGTCCCTTGAGAATGCAAAACCACATGTTAGGAAAAAAACTTTTGTCATCTGCAACAAGTTTCTCCTTTGTTTTCATCCTGTGACAGTGGCTACACCAGCAAAGAACATGTGGCCACAGTCTCATGGTTTCTATTTCAGACACCATGGAAAAAGATGCTAAAGGGGTACCCGCTGGATCACAGTGTGACACTGAGTGGGCTAGACTAAGCTTCAGTGATTAGCTTTGAGTGCAAATACCCTCTTTAATCATGTTACAATAACTTTAAATAACTCCTGCAGTAAGTAATAGGCCACACTTTTAACTGTTGATTTTTCCCCATTTCTTTCTAAGCTAATTTCTATAAAAGTAAAGTCTTATAGGCAGTAGAAATGTTCTCTCCAGACCAGTTTTAGAGTTTTGGGCATCTTATTAGAAAATCCTTATTTGACTGACTTGAAGATTCGATAACATGCCATGTTTCAATCACTTTTCGAATTAAAAATTTAAGTATCTTGTCTTTGTGTTCATAAAGACTATTTAATTAATTTGTACTTAGAGTGAAATGTGGTTGAACTCTGAATTCTTACTTGATATCCAAGATGATTGACTGTAAAAGCTCAGAGCGACACTGGAGCTGGTGTAGAGTTTGAGTCCTTGTCTGTCCCCACTTTGGTCTTTGATTTTTCTGTAAAGCTAAAACAAATGGTTCCTCTCTAACTGTTTGTGCTAATTTCGCAAAGTGTTCAACTGTAATTATCATCAGATTGATCTGATACTACCTGTTTGGGTTTGACAGAGCTCAGTGGCACACTGGCAGGAGAAAGAAAAAAAAAGAAAAACTGAAATGGCAACATGACTATTGGAAAATGAAATGTTATTCCAATTAACATAGTTTTTTATTATGTATATAAAATGTTTTTGATACATTTCAATTTCTTGAAACTTAATTTATAGTGCATTTTTTAGATGCAAATTATGGGTGACTGCAGCAACCTGTTAGTGACCAAAGCAATCAAAAAGAGATTTTTGGTGGAGCAAAATAGTAAATGGCCTGCATTTGTATAGCACTTTTCTTAGTCTCTAAGGACCCCAAAGCACTTTACACTACATTCAGTCATATTCACACACTGGTGATGGGAAGCTACATTGTAGCCACAGCTGTCCTGGGGCACACTGACAGAGGCGAGGCTGCCGGACACTGGCGCCACCGGGCCCTCTGACCACCACCAGTAGGCAAACATGGGGTTAGTATCTTGCCCAAGGATATTTGGCACGCAGCTGGGAGGTAGCCTGGGATTGAACCACTAACCTTCTGATTAGTGGTTGACCTGCTCTGCCACCTGAGCTACAGCCACCCTTTTTATGACTGATTTCAACTTGAGACTTGCAGCAACCACTCATTAGCAGTCGTTTTTACCTATCAACCAGATGTTGCCAGTGGGTCTTCAACCCATATTTATGCCTTAGTAAATCAGAGCTTGGTCTTGAAACATTTAAATCTGGTCTTGGTACCAATTTTTTGAGTCAAAAACCAAAATGTCTTTGAAATGTATCACACAGTTCTGACTTTGTAAATTTTTATTACATGAACTTTGATTATGTTATGATTTTTTCTCACCTTGAGTATTTGTTGTTGAATTCCTGATATTCCCTAATAGTCTTGCTTCTTCTCTTCCTTAGTGCGTCGACAGAACATGAAGGTTCGAATCAACGCCACTGGTGACACCATTGTGATGAAGTTTGTGCGTCCAAGTCCAGATGTGAAGTTAGAGGGTTATATTCTGGGTTACGGCAGCAGCATGTTCTCCAAACAGTTCATCCAGCTGCCTGAAAACGGACAGCCCTACGAGACTGAGATGGGTAAGACCCACAAATATTTCTTCATCTACAGTATGTGCATATTTATAATGTTTTTCTTTTCCAATTTACTTTTCCATTTGTTTTAATCAGTATCAAGTTGTTGATGAAGATGGTCTTTGCAGATAAAAGGCAGCAGATCTTTATGAATTTCCTTAAAAGTTTATTAGAAAAAAATAGTACACTTGGGCAAAATGAAACCTTCCACTCCCTTTTCCGAATATTTTCCCTTTATACAATTCTCAGAAGCTGAATGTATTAGTGTCTGTCTTTAAAACATTAAACAGGTTCATGAGGAGATGATTAAATCTGTGCCAAACCACGACTTTGTGTTGTTTTGATTCTGGAACTTTTGTTTCTGCATCGGTGTGACCACCAAACCTCCATGTCTAAAGCTTTACACTCGTGGGAAAGTGAGAGTTTCTGTAGGAATACTTTCGGGAAAAGAAGAATGTAAGAAGCTTTGAGAAGCAGCAGAGTCTCACAGTGACAGCAGCAGGTGGCTCGGATCCGTTTTCTGAAGCGCAGCCAAGAATTTTTATCCCATCACACCAAGAAAGCTCTAAAAGTTGCGATGGTATGATGCATATAATCGGCCACAGTGAGAGGGTTAACAGAAAACCGGCTGAAAGTCATCCTTCAACACCAGTTTTCATGCAGGATGAGTTTCTTTGCACTCCTGCAGACTTGGGACTAAATGACTGCAGCAGCTTTTGGAATTTAGACCAGAATTATGAGGACTTTTCTCCTCAAGCAGGAAAGACCATTTATCATCTAATGACAAATATTGGCTCTGCATTATGCTCACAAAAAAGCACCAGATTTGGCTGAAGTTTGTTTATGGTCTTGGATACATTTGCTTTAGTGAGAGATGTGGAAGTGAAAAAAACAAATCCTGGGTCAAAACTGCTTATCGTGTTGGTATTATGAAACATTAAAATATGACTAAATTTGGCTGAGGTTTTGTGGTGATCCTTTGTGTGAAAACCCAAAATTTGCTCAGTATTGCCGTGTATGTTGGCAGAATTAGAAGTCAAGAGGCTACAACATTTCGGTTGATGGACAGGTGCCAAAACGCTCAACTTTTCTTGCCTTTTGGATGTTTTTATCCAGGTTCTCTTAGCCTTGAGAGCTTAATTTCTTGGTGATGAGAGTGTAGCAAATTTAGCTTTGTACTTTCTTTGAAATCAACTAAATTGGGCTGTTCATGAATGACATTACTGATTTTAGATGCAGTTGCAGTTCTTATCAGCTTTGAGCTTTTTTTCATCCTGCTGGAAGTAGTTTCATACTATGTTTAAAATTACACAGACGTTGGCTGAGGTTTAGTGGTGCTATTTTAAATACTTTATTCACTGCGTCCCTACTTTTCTGATTAATGTACAGTAATAGTGACTTTGCTCCAGTCTCTCTGTGTGGGTCACTAAGATACTAATTCAATGATGAAGAGGCGGCTGAAGGTTGGTAGACAGGCCCTCATTTACTCGTGTGATGATAAATTTTTGTCTTTTTTTTTTCTTCAAATCTTATGGTAGAAATAGCCAAATTGTGCCAGAGTGTCTGGCACTGGTTTTCTGGATAGATTTCTGGTAAAAAATAAATGTGGTAGTTTTTCCTCAGATGATTGATGGAACTTCCTTAAAAGTTGGCATCAGTTTTGGTGGAGACTTCAACAAAAAGAGCCCAAACTTTTAAAGACAATTTTCTCATCAACTGCTTGATTGGCTTTGATGAAAACATCCGAACTCTGGCATAATATTTTGCTCGTGTTATAAATTGGTACAACATTAGTAGTTTGCTGAGAAACATCAGCTTTACTCCAGTCTCTCTGTGTATCGCATTAAAGATACTTAAGTCAGATATGGAAGTGAAGTTCCAACTTTTGATTAAGTTATGGTCTGTTTTTTTAGTCTTTTGGATGCTGTATGTTTTCTGACTCTCTTTGAGCAACTGTGACCACATAATTTCCTCTGAGACTAATAAGCTAATCTGATTCTGATGATTCTGATTAAAAATTGCCAGAATTTGCATGGTCTAGCTTTGATTTTCTTGGTATATTTCTGATGACATAAAATATATTTTGCCATTGATGATTAATTAATATGACTTAAAATTTGGCTTAGGTTCGGTGAACAAAAAAGCTTTTCTCATCAATTGTGAGCTTCATTTCTTTACTTAGTAGCTTCCCATATGGAAAAGAAATAGAAAGAAATTATAAAAGACTTGCATCAGATGTGGCCTACTTCATATAGTGAATTATATAAGGCTTATATGATTTACTCATGAATGTGGCCACTTTCATATATTGTTTTAGTAAGTATCCAAAACATACAAGTTTCATTTATATAATTTTTCTAAGGATCTTATATCTGTTTTCACTCTTGTATGCTTTTCATATAAGTTTCACACAAGACAGATACAAACTTTATAAGATTTATTTATATCTTTTCCATATGGGTTTGTACCTTGTTCAAACTGTGCAATATCTGGCTGAGGTTTGGTGGACAGCTCACCACACATCCAAACATCTTCAGATTATTTGATTTGAATAATTCAGATCTAAGTGTTTCTTCCTTTCTTGGCATTATGAGACATGCTGAGTTCATGTGCTGCTGGGAAAATCAGGTATCCCATTCTTCCATGTCATGTTTACTTTCCTCACTGTGGGAAAATTAAATCCAGCAGACAGATGATAAACACATATAAACAGTTAGATACAGGAGGATCTTGGAGCTCCTCTGGGAGAATTTTAATTTAATCTCCTTCTTCATTTTCACCACTCATCTCTCATCACTGCCACTTCTGCCTCAAGGTCATGTCATGTCAGTTTGACGATCTGGGCGGGACTGTGGTATCAGAACTGCTCTTAAACATTTCCTGCGGTGTTTACCTTCCTGTTTAAAAACCCTCAATGGAGGATCATCCATCAGCAGTTCCAGGAGGACTGCAACCGCAGTGTTGACTCTTTAAATCCGATGCTGCCAGTGGTTTCGGGGTTTTGGTTTTTTTAGCCACATGAGACACAAACATGGCTTCATGACGACTCAGGGATACTTCACCATTTCCTCTGCAGGCAAACTGTTGCTGTTTCAATTTAAACTTTACTGCACGAGAGTGGAGAAACAGTAGCACTGTATGGTGTTAAAAACATCTGAATTTTGGCTCAAGTTTGGAGGATGGTTTGGTAAATACAGACAAATCCTTAATCTGTTTAGGGCATGTGATAGATGGGGCCATTTGGGGGGTGGGACATGTTTACACCTGTAGAGATGAATACAGTCTCCTCTCAAACCAACAAAGACACTGGTTTGTTTTTGGAAAAAAAGTTAAACATCACTCAGTCCAGAGAACTGTCAGAAAACGCTGTAATTTTAAATGAAGTCATTTGAATGAGGAGATTGTGATAAAGAAGCATTTCATCAGCTGACAGCGGCTTTGTTAGATGCTACAGAACATCGTGATACAGGAAGAAATTACCATATTGATCGCACAGATGGCTGAAATATTAATCAAATATGAGGAGCTGAGTTATTGATCACAAAAATCAGGCGATATTTGCAGAGTAAATGTGCTCAGTTTGACAGTGAGGCATTCCTCCCCCATAACTGGTCATAAATAAAAAAGCTGAATGGTGTCCAGGCTAAAGGCAGGAAGAAACAGCAGCTGCTTTAACAGTCATTCATCATTTAAAAAGGTCTCCAGAGAGGTTTAATAAGTGAGGGTGGAACTTTTACTTTCACACTGATGACTGAGTGAAACTCAGAGAGCTCAGTCATCAGGAGGAGTTCAAAGGTCACTAAGAAAGGAACAATGATTTTCAGTGTAGGCTTACAAATGATTTTGACCTGTAATTTTTATTCTTTAAAACCACTTCATAGCTGTTTTACAAAACTTTGTTGTTATTTTATAAGACTTTCTGGTGCGTTCACCTAGTTGTTTTGCAGTTTTGTAGCTATTTTTACATCATAACTGTTTTATCATAACTTTTGTAATACTTTACTTTTTTTTTTTTTACACCTCTTTAAAACTCTTTGTAGCTTTTGTGATTTTATATTTTGTAGTGTTTTATGATACATATAGTGCCGTAGTTATGTGTGCTGAATATAATATCAGTGAGTTCTCAGTGATTCCCAGACATTTACAAAAGTTTCTTTATTTTCACGGGGATCTAGGCCAATGTTCCTGTATGTAAGCCACACTTTGCACTGTTAAATTGACTAAAGAAAGTCAGACTAAGAGATGAGTTTGTGCTGGAAAAGGAAACCGTGCATGTGGGTGAGAACAGAAAAAATGACAGATAAACACAAAAAGGTTGAGGCTGAACTCTGGAGTTAAAGACGCAAAGAACAAAAGCAGAAAACATTTGACTTGGATGGAAATCAGATTATTATGAAAGAAGATGTGAGTGTTTTCACATGTGGATGTTTAAACTGCCATCCTTGTATTTCAGCAAAGAAACTCTCTCCTTATCTATAATCATTCACATCTGTGTGTCTACTTTCTGTCCATGTGTGGGCGGAAGGCGGGGGAGGGAGGGGGCAACAATACCCGCCATGACATAATCACCATAAGAGAGTGCAGAATTCCTCACATGTTTCAGCCTCTATGAACTCCCACATGAGATGTTCATGTTTCTGTAGGGAAGGTTGCAACATACTTGCCATGGTAGTTGCAGCAGTACAGGTTGTAACTGTACCACTATTTGAAAAAAAAAAAGGTACTGTCTGCAACTGTGTGTTGTGGTTTTATCCAACTTTGTTGTTGTTGGCTTTTATTCCTCTTTGTCTGCATCATTCTGTTGGGTGTACATCACAAAGCCTGACCTCATTTGACATGTTTTTTCAGATGCAGAACCAAAGTACCTGGTGGCCGTCCAACCAATCCCAGCTAACGATGTGAAGAAACACTGCACAGGTATGCTGGCAGCTACATGTGGGCTTCAAACTGATAAACAGGCCAACACATAGTCTCACTCTGTACTCACTTGTCCCAACAGGTAAAGTGAACCTGGAGAAGCCGCTTCACCTGGTGATTGGTTCTATTAGCCCAACCGCTGTGCTACTGTCCTGGGGAAACTATCTGAAGACACCCTATGAAGGGAACATCATGAACGAATGTCTGGAAGACGGGTGATTAACTTCACTTGTTGTCCCAATGCTGATTGCATGTTTTGTCTAAGCTGTACACTGAGCTCTGTCTCTAAAGCTTTGAGCTTTCAGGGATATTTTAAGGAACAGTTCATAGTCTGGTAAAATATTGCAAATTAATTTTTGGGGTTTACCTTTATGATGAGTAACTTCACATATGTCACAGATTCATCATAAAACCAGTTTTGGTTTAGTGAACATGAAAGCTTTTTACCTCCTCTCATGTATTTTATGTTTTATGGACAACCAGAAAGCCCTGTTCCAAAGCTCGACGTTACTCAGAGACAAATCACCTTCAACCAATCAAGATGATGAATTACAACCCTGAAATCTCCACTGCTGTTGAGCTTGAACTGTCCCAGTGTGTTGAGTGATATTACACCGACTGAGACTCACCAATGCTCTTTTCCATCACCCCTTGATCTCTGCTGCCTCTAATAATACATATTTTTCCTTCCCTGTCAAACAAGTTGGAGGAGCCATTGGAAAGCCTGACCTAGGCGTCCTCTGCCACTCTGGGCGTCTTATTAAAACCTAATGTCAGCTCCATCTGTGGAGGGTTTGGCTGCTGCCTCAGATTTTTGGATCCCTGCTCTGAAAAACAGAACTTGAAGGAGTGAAAGTGGAGATTGGCTTTGTGGTCGCCAGAGTTAACAACACCTAATGGACAAAGTTGTTTCCACACTGAGGTCACGGTGGATACAGGCAGCCAGAGAGAAACCGCACGGCATGAAGACGCTGGTACTGGATTGTGTATGTCATCCATATGTCGTACCACTGGGACACTTCGATGCTTTCTGAAACCTTCAGCCTTGTGATCAGGGAAACTTTGACAAGATGCAGCCGAACACATCTTGCACAGTCTACGAAGCAGACCTGCAACCACAGTCATCAGTGATTTAGTTTTGTTTACTTCTGCATAACCCAGTTTTTCTACCTATGAATCTCAGACATTATGGCTCCTTATATAGTTTCAAATCCCTTTAATATCAACTAGACACAAAATTATAGTGTATTTAAAGTGGGTCAAAGTCTATTAAATGTAAAAGCTGCACTTTGAAAGCACATTCTTTTTGTTCTGCAGCTCTAAATGGGCTCTTTAAGCATCTTTCTGATTTTAGTTTTGAAAGTTCAAAGCATTATTTCACTTAACAGCAATGTATAAAAACAGTTGGTCAGATATTAGTACAATTTCAAACTGCTTAAGTAAGATAGTGGCCATAGTTTTGGATTGCATATGAACTTTATATCAGTGTCACACAAGTTCCTGTTAATACCTGCCTCTTTAACAAAGAGCAGCCAAAGCAAAGACTTACAGGGGAGTTTGTTCCATTATTTGGGACACCATCTGGCAGTCTGTCCTCAGTCTGTAACTATAAGCATTTTGTTATTTTAATAGCTAATTTAAAAAAAGGTAAAATAAATAAAAAACTATTTTTGTGATTCCCTAAACTGTGGTAAGTGCTGGTTAGCCAAAGATTTATTTATGTACAGCACACTTTCAATGGATACAAATACACACCAGTTGTAATTTGTAGACAAACATGTACATTTTTTACACAGCTGTATCTGTAGGTAATTTTTATTCCTATCCTTGATAAAAATCTTTACCATAATGGTATTATGGCATTAATTTTTTTCAAATACTTGGCTTGCTATTTGTGTTTATCACAATATAAACCTAAAATATGAGGAGCTTGAGTCACTCCTCCAGAAATGTGTGATACTGTCAGCCTAATTAACCCATTTCTTTGTATTTTTTCGAATTAGTATTAGGCAGCTGGTTGCTAACATGTTTAGATCAGCTGCTTTACCTGTTTCCTCTGGGTAAATTACAAAGATAACCTTTGTGTTTTATAAAAGTTAATGAATGTAAGCATGGCCAAATCGATGTATTGCTGAAACACAACCAAGCTATTGAGAATTTAAAAAAAAAACAAAAACCCAAAAAACCCATTACATATAAGCATATGAAGTTAAAATACAATGGACCAAAAATAGAACTCTGAGGAGCTCCAAGGGCAGTTTTCAGACAATCTAACCACCTTGCTGTTGGTAAAGGCATTTTTCCTTTTTCTCCATCAGATTCTACACTATCCGCTACAGAGAGAGAAACAGGAATTGGATCTACCAGACATGCCCAACAAGCGACACAGTCATTGATAACCTGAAACCCAACACGCCTTATGAGTTTGGCATCCGCTCCAACAAGGATGACCGCAGTGGCACATGGAGCAAACCGGTCATCCACAACACCAGCATGGGCAGTAAGGAGTTACTTACGTACTTGTCACCACTGGAATCATAAAGGCTCAAGCTAAAGAAAACATCAAGCCTTGATTTTGATGTTAAGAAAAAGTTTACAATCTCTTCCAAGAAAAGTTTTTATTATCATTTTTTTTGCAAAGCAATGGCTAATCGATCTTTAATAATAATAATGATTAATTTTACTGCTTTTTCTCTGCACTTTTTTCACAGATAAAAATAGACAGAAATCATACAAGCCACGTAACAGTCCTCCAGTCAAGCTGGGGGTAAGTAACCTGCTGTACTGTAACAAAGTAAATGCTACTACATCTGCGATGTAAATGTGATGACCTTTAAAATTTTTAAATCATGGATACATGTAGAATAGACTGCTTCAAACTTTATATTTACTTAAATACCTCAAAATGTACTTGAAAAATATTTAATGAAGTAAATAATAACATGAACAAACTATGCTGCGCTTACTTTATGTGACATTAATAACATTTTTTACTGTTTGCTTTTGTATAATTATGGCTATTTATTATGGTTAAATTCTAAAACATCAAAAAATGTGCCATATTTTTAATTTGTGTATCTGTTTTTGGTCAGTAAGCTTACTTCATATTTAATGTAAAGTATTATGGCAATGAATATGCAAAAAAGGTTTTCTTAAATTAATAAAACTTGAAGAAAGAAAATAGGAAGATATACAAAAACATTGTAAATAAAATTAAAGGTGAAGATAATAAGTCTTCATTAAAGGAAAATTACCTCTGGGTTTCCACAGAATTTAAAGGTTGAGGTCAAATTTTTCAAAGCAGTGCATCACGAGCTTAGGAGTCCTTGTGTTTATGTATATTTGATTTAAACATGTCTAAAGTTGACATTCTTTGTTCTTTCTTTTTTTTTCTTTTACAAACAGACGCCCCTCTTTGCTCCTCGTTATGGTAAGATTTATGATTTTGTCTTTAATTAATATATAGTCTGTTCAGTCATTATCTCTTCCTGGCATGATTTGTGGAATCTGTTTGACTTCAGTTTAGGTATGTACAGTCAGTAATGTGTTCTCATAGGCCACCACAACAAAACAGGTTCAGGCTGGTTCGAAACACTCACACTTTGCAGTAGGAAAAAAACAACAACTTCCAATTATCCTGAAGTTCAAGCCAAAAGCTTTATGCACCAAATATAATAGCTGCTCATCTTTCTGAAAACATCAGTCTTGTATTGTGCACTTAGACATCTGTCTGCTGAACTGCTCATGCTGAACCATTTCATTGTTTTTCTTTTAACATCTTTGTTGACTTGTTTGCAGCCCTCCACAACGGAACGGGCCCTCGAACACCTACTTTGTTCAAAAACCCAGGGTTCCCTGGAGCTCCACGCACGTCCTTTGGTGATTACCGCTCTTTCTTTCTTTTCTCCCTGTCTGCATACTTTTACTTTTCTTCCTCTCTGGGCAACAGAGAAGTTTCTCACACAGCACAGCACAAAAGCTTCCTTAAAGGGTTCCACTGATGGAAAACAGGCACCAAAATGCAGTTTCAATCCTCACATTGCAGATGTGAGAAAGTGAGAAAGCAAATAATAGTAATACCAACATTCTTTAAATGTTAGAAAAGTAAGAAATTCACAGCACTAAAGGATGTTGAAGATTTGTTTATAAAAAGCCTCATCAGTCTAACTCAATGGCTGCTTTTCCCAAACTAGGTTTCACAAAGAATTGATTGTCTCTCCAACCCTATCCTCTTTAATTTTGACATTTTTCCTCTTATAAACCCACCGTGTTATTTCCAACAGCACCTCCCGAGAGCCAGCAGGAAACTATCCCTGTGCCTGGCTCTTCTGAGCCCAAATTTCCTCACGTGTCCCCGGGTAACGAAACAGACGCTCTTTTATTCTTTAATCATCAGCTTCACTCATTTGCAGTCCATCTTTACCTGCTTCGCCTGAGCCTGTGGTGCACCTGGGAGGGGTGGAGGTGGGGTGTGCAGCTATTGAGATTGGCTGCATGTTAGCATGTCTTAAGCCCAGTTAGAAAGTCAAAACAAGGCGAGGAAATGATGTCCCTGGAGATCAGTAAGTTCCCCTTGGCCTGCCCATTCCAAAAGTAGCTGCAGCTCATTTTTTCAAACCACACTGCTGAAATGTATATGACAGCCATCATGCTTCAGCATTCATCATCAATTTTCTTTTCTCCTTTCAGCTGCTTTCTTTGATCAATGATATTTCTCTTTCTTAGACTTTTCAATTAATACCTGATATTTTTTACCTCTGAGAGGTACAAGGGCTCAACATTACAGCATTATCATTAAATATGTAGATTATATTCAAACCATCAGCTATTTAAAGTAAACCAGTTTCAGTCAGAACTCCTCCATTCCTCTGTCATCCTTCTTGTCTGTCTGTCCAGCTGTCCCCATCCTACTTGTTGCAAGTCACCGCTCTCTTCAGTCAGTCTGCATGTCAGGAGTGCATGTCAGCCAGTTCAGACGCAGACGTGGTTGGAATTTCCCATCCAGGAAAGCCAACACAAGTCGTTCTGCAAAATCCTCCCAAAGTACAATGTCTTCAAACTTTTCTGTATTTCTCTGAGGTACGAGATTATAGGGAACAAAATCAAATTCTTTAGGCATCTGTTTGAAAATAAACAAATCTTGTGGAATCTAGGGCTGGGTATCTGGTATGAAACCAGAGATTTCTAATTGGTTTTAACAGAAATATTAGATCTTGATCTACAACAGGAAAATGCTGGCTAAATACAGTGGTGTGAAAAAGTATTTGCTCCTTTCCTGATCTTCTGTTTTTTTTGTATGTTTGTCACACGTCAATGTTTCAGATCATCCCAAAAGAACTCAATATTAGACACAGATAGCACAAGTAAACACAAAAAACAGTTTCTGAATGAAGGTGTTTATTATTAAGGGGGGGGGGACAACAAAAAAAAACTGCATGTGCAAAAGTGATTTCCTGCTAAACCTAATAGCTGGAACAAGCAGCAGCAAGTGGAGTCAAGCATTTGCGATAACTGGCAATCAGTCTTTTACAGCACTGTGGAGGAATTTTGGCTTACCCCTCTTTGCAGAATTCTTGTAATTCAGCCACATTGGAGGGTTTTTGAGCAATACCTGCCTCTGTAAGGTCATGCCACAGCATCTCAGTCAGATTGAGGTCAGGACTTTGACTAGGCCACTCCAAAATCTCCATTTTGTTTTTATTAAGAGGTGGACTTGCTGGTGTGTTTTGAATGGTTGTCCTGTTGCAGAAACCAAGTATGTTATAGCATTCTCCTTCAGGATATTTTAGTAGAGAGCAGAATTCATGGTTCCTTTTACCATAGCAAGTCTTCCAGTTCCTGAAGCAGCAAAACATCCCTAGACCATCACACTACCACCACCATTTTTAATGATGGTATAAAGTTCCTTTTCTGAAATACTGTGTTACTTTACATCATATTTAATGGCATACACACCTTCCAAAAAGCTCAGCTTTTATTTTGTCACTCCACAGAGTATTTTCCCAAAAGTCTTGGGGATCAGAAAGATGTTTTCTAGCAACACTTAGACAATCCTTCATGCTCTTTAGCTCAGCAGTGGTCTTGGAACTCTGTCATGCAGGCCATTTTGCCCAGTCTCTTTCTTATGGTGGAGTCATGAACACTAACCTTAACTGAGGCAAGTGAGGCCTGCAGTTGTTTAGATGTTGTTATGGTGTCTTTTGTGACCTCTTGAATGAGTCGTCGGTGTGCTTTTGGGGTAATTTTGTTTGGCCGGCAACTCCTGCGAAGGTTCACAGCTGTTTAATGTTTTTGCATTTGTGGATAATAGCTCTCACTGTGGTTTGCTGGAGTCCCACAGCTTTAGAAATGGCTTTATAATGTTTTCCAAACTGAGCGATCTCAATTAATTTGTTTCTCATTTGTTCCTGGATTTCCTTGGATTGCATCATAATGTATGACATTGAGGATGTTTTGGTCTATTCCACTCTGTCAGGCGGGTGCTATTTAAGTGACTTCTTAAACCTGTGTTTAAAAACTGCATTCTGTGTTTTGCCTAATATTGACAGTTTTTGATGATCTCATACATTTAAGTGTGACAAACATAAAAAAGAACAGAAATCAGGAAGAGGGCAAACACTTTTTCACACTACTGCATATCACCAACCAATAAGCCAGTGAGGACCCTTCATTATGAACATGTTTTATTTAGTATCAAATGAAGTATCTATACCATGTCCTATCCTGACAGAAAAGCTAAACAACTTTCCAGTTTTGAAAGACATGTATCTGATGACTTGAATTTCTCCAGAGTTGCTGGATGAAATTAGTCAAAATGCATGTCTATTTTATTTTATATCATAGTGTACACATCGTGCAAAAACAAACACTGACCAGTTTCCTATGACCTCAGTACCTCTCTTCTCTTTCATCCCAGAAAAAGGAAACACAATTAGAAACAACAACACCCAACCAGCGGATATTCCCACTCCTGCCCTCCCCAAACTTCTGTCCACCAAAGCCCCCCATGCCAACATCACAGCCGTCCTTCTTACTAAGTTAGCCTCCAGAGGTGACTCCAGTCATGTGCAAACCACTAAGGCACCCACTAGTGCACCTGAGAAGCCTCGTAACCCCACTGGTAATTCCTCCTTACAATCTTTTTTTTGTCTTTCTTTCTTTTTTTTGTCTGTGACATAATCATTACGTTTTAGAAAACATACAGTTTTATCATAGTCAGCTTTGGTTGAAAAATATCTGTCTTGTCTATCCATGTCGCTTAATACTTAAAAATGTTCTAGACTCAGTGTATGGTGTCCATGAATATAAAAGCATCATCTGCAAATAGTTTCACTGCATTTGCCATATTCTGTCCCAAAAATGCCAAATGTTCTTTTCAAAAGTTGGCTTCTTCTAAAAAATCCTCTTTCTGCTTCTGTGAGATGTTGTATCTCTCAATATCTAAGCCTTTTGGGGGTGTAAGTAATGTAATGTTGTTCTTCAAAAATGAGTATGAACATAGTTAACAATGTTCTGTGTTTAATTTTTCTTTTCACCAAATGAATCAGTGTATTTTCTTTTCTTTTTAAACTGTGTGGGCCCACAAAAATAAGAGTTTCATCCAACAGTTGAACTTTACAAAGAAATGTAGCACACTCAGCTGCTGTCAACAAAGTACTTTTTAAAAAATGTATAGATCTTAAAATCTTTTTATCACACATTACCTAAGGTGTTGAAAATAATCATAGCAGTTCTACAAAATTGGTTGGTTTTAAATGTATTTTTTTAGACAGCTGAGACATAACTGACTGAATACTTACTTTTATTTAGATTTAATTTCTGCCTCCGTAAACTGCTCATTTGAGGTCAAAGGGCCCTGGCGACTGTTACTATATCACCCTGTTACCAAGGCAAGTGCCAGATGTACTTTGCACTATGTGAAAAGATCTGGTACCAGGAGTTGGTGGACTATTGGCTAAAGACAGCACATCCTACACTGGTCACATACATTTTTTTAGGTTCTACACCACCTTTGTAAGATTTTGAGGAAAGAGCTCGTGATAAGTCTTCATAGTCAAATCCTACTTCTTAAATGCACTTTGAATCCAAATGTAACCGAGGCTTTAAAAAGTCTTGCCATTCGTGTCTTACCTTCTCAACAGTCAGTTCTGCTTGGCAAACTTTAAGAAGAATATTTACATTTTCAGGTTTTAATTTGACAGGATGCAGACCATCTCTCAAACTGAAAAAGGCCTTCATTTTTTTTTTAGTGTTCAACCTTCTTTTTTTCATACAGCTGTTGGCAAATCACAGGACGGCTCATCACTGCTGAGATCAGCACTGGCCAATGAGCGGGCCAAAACTAACACATGGGGTAATAACAACCTCACAAACAGCTTCCTTCATCTTGCAATCAAAAGCAACCTTGCTATGTCTGTCTGCTGTTAATTTGCAATCATCTCTTTCCCTTGAGCTTCCAGGCTGCTTCCAGTGAAATTAGTGCTAAAGGTTTTTTTCCACAGGAATGGCTGCTCAATCCAGGAGTATCACCTTCACGCACATTTCATCTGGTGTTTGCATGCAGCACACAATCTTCCAGTTATCAAAATTCATCAGCATCTTCGATGACTGGTTTTTCAAGATTGTGAGCGCTTAAAGAATCATCTTGGTCCCATCATGCTCATTTGTTTATTTATTCCATAAATTCAATGACATCAGATTTAATGGTCCATCACTAACGATGCTGCACAGGGCTGCTGCAAGCTCGCTTGTCTGCCAACACAGATAAAGGTCAGATCAGACTGTAACACAGGCCGTGCAACTGTTTTTGATCTTTTAGGTCAAGGAAACAAAAGAAATCTCACTCCATCGCTGCCCCTGCAGCCCTACAACCCAGCAGCTACCACAGTTACCGGATCCATGAGGCCTGCATCGAGAAACCCTCTCTTTCCCTTCTCTAATGGCTTCAGACAGCCCCACTCCCCCTCCTCTAGATCGAGTAACTCATCCCCAACTTCAGGGAAACTTGGGGGTAATCCTCCTTGTACCTGTTTCTTTTATGTTCACTTTGCTGCTTTGCTGTCTTTTACTGTCCAAGGGGAAAATGTTTTGATAGGCTAAGCCATGAAATATATCTAATTTCAAGTACTCAAGTTTAAGTTTGACTTTTCTTTTCAAGTCAAATGCAAATTGGAAAAATACTTACAGGCTTATTGATTATATTTCTCTCTTGTTCAAGATTCTAAAATCAAGTCGATAAAAATTGATACCAAAAAGAACTGAAATATCAAATATACCTACTATTTAGGTTGTAGAATCTTGAGATATTCTAATCAACGCTGATTGGTTTTGCCTCTTGTGGACTCATTATCTTCCAGTTTCCCATCTATTGTTACTGTCTGAGACATTTTGGGGGCTTTTGCAATGGTTTTCTATGCCACTATTCTTTCAATTTTAAGAAAGAATTTCTTATGTGTCTCAACACTGTTTCGCATCTCATCACCCCTCAACACAATTTTACTTTTGCCTTTTTTCTGATTAAATGCTGTGAAACTTCATTTTTGTTAACTGTTAGCTGCTAAATGAACCTTTCAGGTGAACAACCAAACAAGTCCGTTAAAAGCTTTGGCTAAAAGTTTAATAGATCAACTAGTGGGATTTTATATTGCTTCCAGAATAAATAATGCACATTAAGGTTTATCTTTGGTTCATAACTGACCCATGACAAGAATTAAGGAATTCTGTACAGTTAAGGAAATGGACAAAAGTTGGGGAAAAATGGGAAAAGTAGGTGTTCCAAATAGTCAAGACAAGTAAAAAAAAAAGAAGATTTATTTGGTTAGAAAAGGACTTGGTTGATTGTCCTCTCATCAGGTTCAGTTTTCAGAGACAGTTTCTTTCCCTTCATAACACTTAGTTTTCTCCCAACAGTAAATGGACAACCACACCGGGGCATTTCCCCACCTAAACCGGCCATATGGTCCCGACCTCGATTGGGTAAAAAAGACCTTGTTTGTCTTTCTGTGTTTCATCATTAACCCTTCACTCGCTTTTGCAGCATTTTCACCTCCACTGCAGCTCTTGTTGGTGTTTTTTGTGTCCCTCCATTTTTTATTAATACTTTAATGTCCATGCACTATTCATCCATCCATCCATCCACCTGTTTGTCCACCATTGGTCTGTCCATCTGTGTTGTCTTTTTGTCCCACATTCGCTGCCTCAAGCCAGTTTTGAGCAAAGCTTCAGTCAGAGAGATTTAACTAATCAAGACGCTGCACATGGTTGATTATGTGAGTTGGTTACTTAAGTTCAGCAGCTGATTGTGTCCCTCTGTGTTCTACAAGTTGTTGGTGGTGGGGAGTGTTTAACCATCTGGTTTAAGGTTGTGGTTGGGGAAACTGTAGCAAATTCAGAGACCTGAGACCTCTTCAACTCTTTGGGTGCTGGGCTAAAAACCATTTCACTGCTTCACTGTTTCACTGCTTTGCTCTAATAACCATGTAGAATATTTCACAAAAAGTTTTAATTATTCCTTAGAACCAGTTTAAAAACATTAAACTCTGACCAGTTTGAAATAATGTATATTTTCTTGGATGAACTCCATCTGCAGATGAAAATGGTCAGATAATACACTAAGGTCACTGAAAAAGTTTGTTTGTGGATGTATGTTTAAAGATTGTGTTTTACAAAAGTATTGAATAATTAAGCTATTTGTTGTCTGCAGGGTTGACTATTGATTTTTTTTAAACTTTGGCCATTTCCCCAGAATTCAAACTTTTTTATGCTACTGCACAGTTTTTGCAGTTTTTGGGAACATTAGCATGATGTTTTTTTGTTTTGTTTTTTTAAAAAAAAAGCTGTGTGTAGTTTAAATAGTGTTTCCAGAGTTATAATCTAAAGAAAATAGTCTGTTATCTGCTGAAAATGATAAAAATTGACAGAAAATAACCTGTCAAGATTATTATCAAGAGCTACAAATTGATTCGAATCCTTTTTCTGAAACTGGCCTTTTAAGTTTATAGAGAAATATCTAAAAATATACATATAAGGCATCAATGTTATTGGGAGTGTTGTTACTCTTTTAGTTAAAGTAATGCTTCTAAAATGTAACTTAGTTAATGAGAGCTGGTGTAGCGTGTTATTGCTGGCTCAGACCTGCCTACACTTGTTGAGCTTTACTCTGTACATTGATATAGTAGTAGTTATAATAGTTGCTATATGGGCTCTCTCTCAAACTCAATACCATTATTTTATTTGTAGTGTTTGGTTTACTTTCTGATGATTTGGAGTAGTTTCCAACCCAACTAGGAAAGAAAATAGTAATTTTGCTCCAACAATTACTTTAATAGGCTTAACAAGTTGTTGGCGCAAACTGGCTGCAATATTTATTTGGAATAGGAACTAACGTACCAATGAAAGAAAAATATTAGAAAACTTTTTTTTTCATTTGGTTTTTAGGAGAATAAGCATACATATTTTTTTTTGTACCAGCAAAAGTGTTTTTAAGTGTATAGAAGTTATTCTAGTAATACCTTCAGCAGAGGTTAAACTCTCTGCAGTGACTTTCAAGCATCAGAAAATTCAATAGAATTTGAAGTCTTTCATAAGCAGCTAAAAAAAGAGGGTGATATGGGTTATGAGAACTTTCACTTTAGATTCAGTTGTATTATGAGTTAGGCCACCCTCAGAACTCATCTGACAATTGAAACCCGGTCAGATCACAGTTTACAAAAGTTTATAGTGAATTATACAGTTAATGATTTACATTGTGCATGGTGTCATGGTGGGCATGGTCTTCCTGTCCAGTATGCATGAGCTGGTTTTGGTGTCATCAGTTTTCTAGTTTTGATGTTTTGTCTTTTGTATTTTAACACCCAGAAACCACTGATCTATGACTTTTTGACAGAAACTTAAAAATACAAAACCGAAAAATGGCCAAGGCATCTCAGGGCTTTATTTCAGTATTGAATACAAACTCCAGTTTTAATCGCAGTGCCTCTCCTGCTGCAGTGAACAACTCATTGCTGGAGGAAAAGAAGTCTGAACTCCCTGAAGTGTTTGGTCGTTCGGGTCCCACGACAGAAGAGTGGGTTTATGGTTGGTAACGGCATGAATTTCATTTGTCTGCACCCAAAACTTGCCCATGCCGTGTGCTGACTGCCGCTCCAGTTGCTCTACATCGTTAAGACTGCATGGTTTGGTGGTGTTACATGTCCAGAAACAAATCTTTAGAAGGACCATGAAGGAAAATACTGGCCGTCAGCTTGAAAGTTTTGGCCAAAGGCTTTGGAAAGTATGCGCTCCCCTGATCGTTAGCTTACTTTTACAGAACCTCACTTTGCAGAGCTTTGCGCTTTTTCTCACCACAGAAATTAAAGGAGGAGACTGTTTCTAATTAGCCTGTGATGAACCTGGCATCTCGACTGGACCTTTGGTATTATTTTAAAAAAGTTCTGTCCAGGGTCCAAATGCTTCAGCTTGTGCTTCTTGCCTGATTGCGAGTGCGATGAGCTTCAGACATCTTGCTGCAGAGATGCCGTGTTTAGAAAACCCTCACGCGAACCAGGACAGCATGGCGTGCATTGGACAGTTTTCATCAGAATGTGGAAACCTCTGTTTGATTTTTATTTTAGAATTATTTGTGTGAAAAAAATCATACCAATATGTATTTATTCTAGTTCTGTATTGTAATCACGAGGCATTTCTGAACATAGGCTATAATTATAGCACAGTTTCCACTCTGACCTTCCAATATAATGATCCTTTGAGAACACTGTACCTCTTGTGGTTTCTTGACAAGCCTCCTAATTTATGTCCAAGAATAATACAAGGTTTATCCAAGTAAGCAAAATATCTCTATGAAGCTTAAACAATTTTAGCCAAACTTCATGTCAAACAACAGCAAACATTCATACAGGCAGCCCATCATACATATTTACATGCAACTGATTGAAAGGAATGCATCTGTGTTGTTTCATGTTACGAGCTAACATGTTTCAGGACTCCATCATCTTTCATGTTCCTGGCTTTGCATTTATTCTATTTAGTTTTGGAACCGAGTCAATTCCTTGATTGTGAAGAATTTGGCTTCTGCTTAAATAAGAGGAAAGGGGGCAGGGGTGGGGTGTAATTGGCTGCAGGTTCTGGACTTTAGTCAGAAAAACACAAAAGATCTTGTGGGATTACAAGGAATTGTTCATGTTTTAAGGTTCATTTGGCATTTGGAAATGGGTAGGGAGTTCTACCTTAGCTGAAAAAATATATATTTCAAGAGATTAGACAGCACCTGGCTAGAAAATAGATCCAAATTGGCTGTTAAAGCTTTATTTTTGCCTTATGTAAAGCAATACTGTCCACAGACTACAGAACAGGCCTGAATCTGATCTAAAACAGAGACATTCCCATCATGTAATACTTTAGAAAATTATTGCAGCACTTTATATGAATAGTAGTAAAATAAATTTGAAATGACTGTACATGAAAGAGACCCTTTAATACAAAAAGTCACAAGTGCAGAGATGGTTTAGATCAGGACAGTAAAATAAAGGCTGATAAGGTGATTGTAACAAGATAATGTTTTTGTTTCTTTCAGGATCTCCTGCTCGTCCAGCAATACAGATCAACAAGAAGCCAAATTTGGTTGGAAAACCTGGAGAAACGGGTAGGAACTCAATAAGAAAAACAATGAACTTTGTCTACACCCTTGTTTAACTGCGACATTTATAGTTTTCTGAAGGTTGAACTGTTTTTGTTTACATATTTTCCATCAGACAAAGTTAACAACTTCAAACAGAATGATAAACTGCCTGTCCTGAAACCCAAAGTACCAGCAGTGACCACCAAGCCGATCAAACAAGAACGGAAACAGACCACAACTGCAACACCAACTACTACTGGTACAAAGATTTCCACTTGGCAATCAAGTAGTAGTCATCAGCCCAGTTTCGTCCAGTTTACCACATGCAAACTGCAATTTAAGACAATTTTCTCCTGCTTATTTTGAAATGTTTTGCTAGTTTAACCAAATGCATGTGACCAATGATTGAACATGAAGTCTATTTACAATATGCTGCCAAATGGGGCCTTGCTGGGCACTTTAAAAGTTTTCATGTCAGTCATTGCTTTCTTTGAATAAAGCTTTTGGAAAATATAATATTTTTTAACTATATACTCACTCCCAAAAGAAACCCACAAAAACAAAACAAAGAAAAAAATATTTTCATGGACATGCACAATATGCACAAAATATCACAAACCAGCTTACAAGAAGTAGACATACCTTCTTGTAATATTTTGCTTTGTTTACAAAAAATGTTGCACATAGAAGGAAGGTCATTTTGTTCCAGAAGGTTTATTCTTGAAATTAGACAATTTGTGTTGTGTTTCTTCTTTCAGCACCTCGACAGGAGTCATGGGAGGAGTCAGATCTTTTTAAATCACAGCCATCCTCTGAGATTGACGCCATGGGCAAAAAACGTTACGTAGGTAAGCTGAAATGGTCACTTTAGCAGGACATTGGGTTTTACCATATAGCGATACAGACATCAAAACAAGCATTTTTTGTTCCAGCTCCAATTACATATACAAAGTGAACCTCAAACCCCAGTGATACTTATGCTTTACATTCATGTTCTCTTTCTACAGCACCTCATGTCATCTACAAAACTGGAAAGAAACCAGATGAGCCTTGCTCTATTACCTCTTCCCTCAACTACTTTCCCGAAGATGAACCCAGTGAGACAAATGTGACATCACCACCAAAGACTCCACCCTCCAACCTCACTGTGGTGACAGTGGAGGGATGCCCATCTTTCATCATCTTGGACTGGGAGAAGACTGACAATGAAACCACTGGTACTTATTAGCTGAATTTTTATTGCAGCAGCCCAACAAAAAACTGAATGAAATTGAAACTCTTTGGTGACTAACCTATAACACTCCTATGGTGGTTTTAGCTGTGTTCTATCACGATTCTGTTGGTCATGTCCTAATTCTGTAATCCTCTTCTCAGAGTACGAAGTCATCTCCACTGCTAAAGGCCCAGATGGAGAACAGGTTTCCATCCTGACTACAAACCAGACTCACACTGCCGTAGAGAACCTCAAACCTGAGAGCAGGTAAGTTCTACCTAAATTCGTTTTCTTTCTTCAACTTTACTTTTCATGAAGTTGAAGTCAAAGTCAATTTCTAAATTGTAGAATTTGAGATTGGAAATCGACCAGCCTTGTGTACCATGTGCAAATTTTCACAGCCTAGCATCAAGGGTTATCTACAGATTTATTTACCATGATTTCATGTTATGAGATTGATTTGCCGTGTAGCCAAGAGAACCAGTCAATTTGTCGGCTACACAGAAGAAAGAGAAGACATGAAAAATGTGAAAACACTCCAAACCAAACCAGGTCATTACAATAAAGCAGGTTTATACATATTAATCTCTGGATGTTAAGTGTTTCTGCAACTCAGATCTGACTGAACATCTGCTGGTTGGCGTTGCAGCCATTTCATTCAGCTGTTCAAACAGCCCAAGTTAGTTGAGCCCAGTAAAATAAGCAGAGCATCTGTTACGCTTGCTGACGCTTTAACGAGCCGCGATGTGGGAAAGCTATTTGGTGTGAAGGAAGGTGGTTAGAAATTAAGTCTGGCCAATTGCAAGTCTGGACTCAAGTAAAACCATATAAAAATAAAGAGCTGTGAGCAGAGGTCATGGTTTTCACTGTCATGCACGGGTTGCATGATGTTTGTGACTGTCCAAGCTTATAAAACCTGTTTTAACAGTCAGTTGTGTAACTTTGATACAGTATAAAAGAACAGAAAACGATAGTTGTTGTATTGTTTTTTTAGTGACCTAGAGGAAATGGTTAAGGAGAAATCCTTTGTTACAGTAAAATCACCATTATTAACAAGTAGCTTCAAAGTAATTTGTTAATAATTCCTTAAAAGTGTATAATCAATAAAAAATAAAGGTAGTCTATCCAGAGAAATGTAGTATTAGAATATATTGGTACTTTAACTGTTTTGGGCTGAGCTGATGTCTTTATTTTATTTCCTACTTTACTTTGATAAATTATAGTTCTTAAAAAGATTTTGCAATATAGTTCATACCTAAGTAAGTTCTACATTTTCTTGTACTTTGTGGCATCTGAGTTTGCTGTGTCATCTTTGAAAAGTTATGACTCTATTCCTGATTATGTATTATTGTAATGCTATATTTCCCCCCATTTTTTTAGTTACGAGTTCAAGGTGAAGCCAAGGAATGAGCTGGGCTCAGGTCCTCCCAGTGAGCCAGTTACCTTCAACACAGAGTCAGGTACATTCCTGCTCAACTGCCTGTCTTTAGAGAATGCACAAGCCAAAGCAGTTGCAGTCAAACTGAAACTCCAGGACCTCTCTGTGACTTCAAATGTTTTAAACAACAAGTAGAAATGCTCCAAACTTTCCGCTCATCAGTTAAGACTAATGTTCACCCTCAGCGGCAGCTACTGTTTCTGCCCATTTCAAATTCACTTAGCAGGAATTGCAACTCATTGCAGATGTATAATTAATTATCGCTATTGCATAAAGGTAATTTCCTGCTAGAAATTTATCATAATGTGAGACTTGAGACTTCACTCCTGATTGCCTACAAAATACAATTAATCAGTTATGCAGTCATCCATAACTGGACTTTACTGATAGAATTACTAACAAGTCATTGATTTAGTTGTTTTTTAAATGCTGACATCCAGGATATTGATTTTTTCAAACATTGCACGAGTGAATTGATATCCTATATTTCAAACACAGAGAAATAATTAAATGTTCTGCTTCACTGATCTAGATGATGATGAAAGTTGCTGCTCACGTTATAAGAAGGCACTCCTGCATCAATGTGCAGTATCAGTTATGCTTTCTTTATATAAGCTGTTAAGACCCTGTTGTTATTCTTTCCTTAGCGGACCCCAGAGTGAGTGAGAACGTTTCAGGTAAATTAACATCCACCTTATGTCCACATGGTTATAAGAAAAGCCTTTGTTTAAAGGTAGAAAGTTATATTTATTTTTCTGTACAGGAAAAGATGCTATCTGGACTCAGTTCCCCTTCAAGACAGACTCATACTCTGACTGCCATGGCAAACAGTATGTGAAGAGGACCTGGTACCGCAAGTTTGTTGGTGTACAGCTTTGCAACTCACTTAGGTACAAGATCTACCTGAGTGAAACACTCAACGGTAAGTACAAATGCTGAATTTATTGCCCACTTTAACAGGGAAACTGATCCCAGATCTGATCTGTTTCTCTATATTTCCCCTTATAGGTAAATTCTACAATATTGGAGATCAGACTGGCTTTAGTGAGGATCACTGTCAGTTCGTTGACTCATTCCTGGATGGGCGAACGGGCAGACAGCTCAGAGCTGACCAGCTCCCATCCAGACAAGGTATAAGCTTTATTTCAGTTTTCCTGAATTTTTCCTGAGCTCCTTAGTGAGCATGCATTTTTTGGACATTAAGATCCAGTATACTGCATGATTTGTCTTAAAAAAATAGAAATTAGTTATACCTGTACTTATATCTCATTTCAATTCAATTCAATTTTATTTATACAGCACCAAATCACAACAACAGTCACCTCAAGGCGCTTTTTATTGTAAGCTAGACCCTACAATAATACATACAGAGAAAAACCCAACAACAATTATAGCACTTTGGCAACATTGGGAAAGAAAAACTCCCTTTTAACTGGAAAAAACCTCCAGAAAAACCAGGCTCAGGGAGGGGCGGCCATCTGCTGTGACCGGTTGGGGTGAGACATAACAGACAAATGTAAAACATTATATTTAAATCCAGTGTGACACCCACTTCATTGTCATTGTCTTTGATGCCCATCTAGAATAAGAGTTCAGAAACCAGAGAGGACATTTTAGAATCTTTTAGTTTTTCCATTTCCTTTAGAATCACAATCATTTATTTAGTATTAGATGTCTGTACATTTTTATTACAATAAATAGGAAATTCTGCTGCTCTTAATCGGGTGCTTTGATACAAATTAGATTGAATGTATCAGATTTAAAATATGTTCCTCATCACGTATTGTTCTTTTTTGTCCAGGTTTCTTCAGAGCATTGCGTCAAGAACCTGTCCACTTTGGAGAAATAGGAGGACATTCTCATGTCAACTACGTCTCATGGTATGAGTGTGGAACACCCATTCCTGGCAAATGGTAGACGAACAGTCATCCTCACAGAGGCCTATGATGGGATTTGTTGCCAAAGCTTGGATGGCTAAGCCGTGCCTCTGAATTCTCTCAACCATGTTACTCAGTGCTGTAAAAATGTACAGGATATACTTGTCAGGGACTTTGTAAGGAGAGAGCATTCATCATAAATGATATAGCAACCATGCCTCATTTTTAATATTTATCTAGCAGCAAGGCTAAAGTGATGTTAGAACATGAAGATTCATAGAGGTATCGTTTCTCTGACTCATGCTAGATATATTTTATTTTGTGTTGAAATAATGGGAAGCTGGCTCCCTGGATTACTATTTTCATAACTTGTGAGATGTTATTTATCAAAAAGTCTTTGATTGCATTGCTTCACGAGGGCCACAGATGGGAATTCACAGGAGGTTTTTTTTTTTTTTTTTTTTTTTTTTTTAGAAATGCCATAAAAAGTAATTCAAGTGAGAGGTTTTAAAAGATACCATCCTGCTTCACATTCATCCATCGGCAACTGGCAGTCACCCATATCACCAGTCTTTAACCAATGCTTCACTAGTTAGTGTAGCGAATATAGACAGCATCATGAGTGATAAATTTACTGGATATCAGCAATAAGAAACCTATTTTAAACATTAAAAGTAAATAATGTATTTGATAATATAAATACCAAATAATGTACTTTCTGCTCTGAAAGGTGCCCCAAAAATACAGTACGGTGATATTTTTCGGGAACTAAGTTAGCATTGTAGGTAACTAATCCAGCTTTGTGAATCTGCTGTTCTGTAATTAATTTTCATTATTAATTAATTAATCTGCCAGTTATTTTTGATTAGCCAAATTAGTCATCAAAAATAAAAAAGTAAAAAATAGCCCATCCAATTTCTGAAACACATATTTAGCTTACTGTCATGTAATTCTTATATTTAAGAAGCTGCAAATGTTTTACTTGAAAATAGACAAACAATTAATTGATCATCCATTAACTGATCTATTAATGGAGAAAGAGCTGCGGCTTTTTATCATTGTCCTTTAAAGAAAATATCAAGCTGGCCTGAGTTTTGGTGCTTTAAACTACATTTTTAGGTGAAATGCCTAAAATTCATGCTTTACATGTCAATACGTTGGATGTGTTGACTGAACGCTGAGCTTCGGTGAGAGGCTTCTACACTTGCATTTTGCACAGCAGAAATGTATTTATATGTATATGGAGAGAATGTATTTTTTTTTTCAGTACATTTTTGCAGATGCATTTCTCTCACCATGACCAAAAAAACAAAAGGAAAAAGAAAACCAAATGGTACTATAATATGCTCTTCTTTGTCCTTCCTCGTGCTAGAGCATGGTGGGAAACTAATATTGCTGCCTGATTGCAAGTCAAAAGCAGAATTATTTACATTTTAATAACCAAATTACATTTAAAGATTTTATTTCTAGTTAGGTAGGGTTAAAATATTCAAATGGGAAATTAACTTGTTAACTGGTCTTATAGATGGAAACTAATTGCCATCTGATGCCTGGTTAATCACATAAAACATTTCCCTAAATACAGTCTCTTTCTGTATTTTACCAAATTAACTCATTGGAGCCATAGTTCCCCCAGTGGTTTTTCAAGCTCAACAACAGACCCAGTCATGCAGGCCTAGCAACCCATCACATGGCAACCACCAGTTACTAGGGAAAAATATTGGAGATTGGTTGCTGGATGTCACTGGCTGAACCTGGTAACAAAGTAGGTGCTGCTCCAAAAGCCTACAGGACCTATAGATTAGCATGGAAGATACCAACATGCTTGCAAACACTCTTAAAATATTTTCCCTAGCAAGCAGTCTATAGGTCTGTGAGACGAAAGCCTAAAGTAGGGGCAGCGATAGCTAGATCAGGAATGCTATGAGTATCTGTTTCCTTGAGTAGCTAGACAACCAGCCTGTATGCAGTCTTCAAAGGAAACCTCAGACACCAGTTTTATTTACTTACACTATTTGTCACAATCAAATAGCTGCGGGAACAATGAGCCATCTGGCTCAGAACTCAGACATTTCAGTCTTTAAAGGGTTTGTATATATCTTCTTATGGAAATTATGCATGAAAATGAATCCTGTTGTATTGTTTGTGATATTTTTAGCAACACATAAGAAAGGCATTAATAACTAAAATTGAAAGATACCATTTTTAACAATTTTTAACGAATGTAAAGTTTCATCAAAACAAATTTAATGACCCAATGAACAACAAAAATGTCTGAGACAAAATCTGATCACAATAACAACATTAGTAAGAAAACAGTAATAGATAACTATAATGTGGCTGAAATGTTCTAATGATGTTCTGATGGCTAGCAAATCCAGAAATATCTGCATTAAACATGCTGTTTACTTAACCAACATCCGGAGATGGCAACTAAGTTAGAAAAAGTAATGGAGTGCCATGATCTGCCCTTCTACGTGTCTTCAAATGGGCATTTCTTTAAGGGCACCTAGTCTGCATTGTCTTACCTGTCATATGAATATAACATTAAGATGCTGAATGTTAATATTCGAGTCACTAGGTTTCAAAGAATGAGGTTCAAGTAATCATTCTAAGCCAAAAGCTCAGCTTTCAAACTACTCTGAGTAGTCAGTACAACCAATACCAGACAGTATAACTCTGTCAACAGGCTTCCAAATGTTGGCCAATCAGAAGAAAGAAGGGGGAATGGAGTTGTTAGAAATGCTTAACAACTCATTTAATGAACTGAGGGGTTCATTAAAAGGAGTGCTTTATGAAGGGCAAATATAAGTATCAATTTTTATTTGAACTGTGAATCATGCAAAGCTACTCTAGTAGAGCCAAGAAAAGAAGCAGAGTGCTGAAAATTAGCAGACTAGGTACCCGTTCAATTAGTTGCAGTGTGTGTTGTAATATAAATTTTCTCCCTGGCAGGAAACAGATTACATGACTGTGGTATCTGAGAGGTGCAGTAATGAAAGTCGCAGATTAGGGCTATTAAAAAGCGCTATACAAATGCAGGCCATTTGCAGGCCATTAACTAAATTGCTAATCTATCTTTATAATACTTAAGGCTGCCGTTAACTTCCTGTCCTTCCACCAGCCTCAAACTTACCTACTGTCACACTAATAATATATGGTGGAGTGATGGAGGCAGAGACAGTAGAGAGCAGTGATATAATACAGCATTAGCGGGGTGTTTTCTGATTCTTCCACATAGTGTTGCACAGTCCTGCTTAGATGCTGTTTCCTGACAATAAAGCAGTGTACTTTGCCTTTACCTTCCAGCTGCAATCCTGACCGCCTTCATTTATAAAGTCCATTATTATAAAGCAGGGATCATTTAAAACAGAGGAGTGCTTTGTAAGGAAAAATAAGAATGTATTGCTGTTGATGTTTTTCTACATACATTTGTTTCTATATTGATTTTTAACAATAAAGAAGTTTTGAGTCCTTTTTAAAAAAAAGTGTCTTTATTTACCCTCCACATGCATAAAGCTTTATCAGTTTATTACCTAGAACAGAACCTTATTATGTTTTTCTATTTTCTTAACTACTATTAATAGAATTAATCAATACCTAATTCAGAGTTGTCGAGATTTGGAGACTATCCCAGCTGTCATAGAGTGAGAGGCAGGGTACATCCTGTAAAGATCACTAATCGGTTGAAGTAAAATAATAAATTTAACCCATATTTCCTAACTCAGGACACAGGAAATGTGTTTCGTTGAAGATGAGAGATGAAAATATCAACAACAGTCACATCCATTATGTTTAAATTGGGAAATGCTCACAGGGATTAATCAGAGAGTCAGACAGGATGGAAAGGAAGTGTTTCTCTTCAGCTGTCTTCAATTGCTCATCTCCAGCCTCTTTACAGCTGAAAATTAGAAGTTGGTGAGTATCAAAGTAAACGCCTGTGACTGTAAGGAGGGAGTAAACGCCACTTAATGTTAACACAAATAAAAATCTGTTCTAAAAAATTTCAGTTCACACAAGCACTGAAATCCACCTTTAGTCACAGACAAGATTAAATTTTTGCCTTTTGAAGATGATCAAACAAGTTTAAAGAATCTTAGACATTAATTTTCTGCTTAAGCAACTTCTTGAAATGAGCTTATCAACCTGTAGCATTTCAGTCTGGTGATTAAGTTTGATCACTATACTCAAAGACACAATAGTCTATATCAATACCTACAGGGAGTGCAGAATTATTAGGCAAATGAGTATTTTGTCCACATCATCCTCTTCAGGCATGTTGTCTTACTCCAAGCTGTATAGGCTCGAAAGCCTACTACCAATTAAGCATATTAGGTGATGTGCATCTCTGTAATGAGAAGGGGTGTGGTCTAATGACATCAACACCCTATATCAGGTGTGCATAATTATTAGGCAACGTCCTTTCCTTTGGCAAAATGGGTCAAAAGAAGGACTTGCCAGGCTCAGAAAAGTCAAAAATAGTGAGATATCTTGCAGAGGGATGCAGCAGTCTCAAAATTGCAATGCTTATGAAGCGTGATCATCGAACAATCAAGCGTTTCATTCAAAATAGTCAACAGGGTCGCAAGAAGCGTGTGGAAAAACCAAGGCGCAAAATAACTGCCCATGAACTGAGAAAAGTCAAGCGTGCAGCTGCCAAGATGCCACTTGCCACCAGTTTGGCCATATTTCAGAGCTGCAACATCACTGGAGTGCCCAAAAGCACAAGGTGTGCAATACTCAGAGACATGGCCAAGGTAAGAAAGGCTGAAAGACGACCACCACTGAACAAGACACACAAGCTGAAATGTCAAGACTGGGCCAAGAAATATCTCAAGACTGGTTTTTCTAAGGTTTTATGGACTGATGAAATGAGAGTGAGTCTTGATGGGCCAGATGGATGGGCCCGTGGCTGGATTGGTAAAGGGCAGAGAGCTCCAGTCCGACTCAGACGCCAGCAAGGTGGAGGTGGAGTACAGCATTATCAAAGATGAGCTTGTGGGGCCTTTTCGGGTTGAGGATGGAGTCAAGCTCAACTCCCAGTCCTACTGCCAGTTTCTGGAAGACACCTTCTTCAAGCAGTGGTACAGGAAGAAGTCTGCATCCTTCAAGAAAAACATGATTTTCATGCAGGACAATGCTCCATCACACGCGTCCAAGTATTCCACAGCGTGGCTGGCAAGAAAGGGTATAAAAGAAGAAAAACTAATGACATGGCCTCCTTGTTCACCTGATCTGAACCCCATTGAGAACCTGTGGTCCATCATCAAATGTGAGATTTCCAAGGAGGTAAAACAGTACACCTCTCTGAACAGTGTCTGGGAGGCTGTGGTTGCTGCTGCACGCAATGTTGATGGTGAACAGATCAAAACACTGACAGAATCCATGGATGGCAGGCTTTTGAGTGTCCTTGCAAAGAAAGGTGGCTATATTGGTCGCTGATTTGTTTTTGTTTTGTTTTTGAATGTCAGAAATGTATATTTGTGAATGTGGAGATGTTATATTGGTTTCACTGGTAAAAATAAATAATTGAAATGGGTATATATTTGTTTTTTGTTAAGTTGCCTAATAATTATGCACAGTAATAGTCACCTGCAAACACAGATATCCCCCTAAAATAGCTAAAACTAAAAACTACTTCCAAAAACATTCAGCTTTGATATTAATGGGTATTTTGGGTTCATTGAGAACATGGTTGTTGTTCAATAATAAAATTATTCCTCAAAAATACAACTTGCCTAATAATTCTGCACTCCCTGTAAATAAGCAAGTAAAATTCAGAACTTGCCAAAGGTTTCTGTATATCTACTCCAGGTACATATTAGAGCTAAGATAAGATAACCAAGCATGCTGACGTTACTTAAAAGCCCTCTTACAAATGTGATTACTTCTTTTCTGAAAAAATAACACAGCAGTGGTCAAAATGCCAATTTTAATCATTTTTATCATGCAAAAACACAACTTTTTCAAAATACCTTGCAGTCCTGTGAAAAACTAACTATACCTCAGTGTTTCCATGGGAATTTAAAGGGTAAGTAGCAGCCACATGATGCTGATTTGAATGCACTTGATGAAAAGCAGAAGTTTTTTTCAGTTTGCGGGTCTGGAACCTTCAGGTGTGTGTTAACACGGTGCCAAAGAGAAAATACATCAGCAATGAATTAAGGGGAGCAACTGTTGCCCATCAGTCTGGGAAGGGTTATGAGGCTATTTCCAAGGAATCTGAAGTCTATCATTCTACAATGAAAAAAAAAAATTTACAAATCAAAAACATTCAAGGCAGCTGCCAAACTTCCCAGACACGAATGGATATCACAAGAAATTCACCCCAAGGTCAAACTGTGCAATGTTCAGAGAAACTGCAAAAAGTCCAAGAGCGAAAAACTGTACTGAGTGTTGCCGTTCTTCACAGGTTCAATGGTCGTCTTAGAGAAAGTGAACCTAAGAGAAGACGTCTTTAAATTTGGAAAAATGACTGAGGTCTGGTTGGACGCAACTGCAGACTCCACACTGAAGTCATTAAAGTGAGGGACGAGAACATTTTTAAGGGATCATATTGTGTTTTTAGCCCCTTCTCAGATCATCCATCCTCATATTACCCACAAACCCCCTCATCCCCCAGTGTCACAAATTCAACCGCAATTCCAGTTAGAAACACCAGCAGTGATGTGACCGATTACATCAGTTTTCCAGTTCTGAAACCACCAAAGAAGGGAAAATAGTGACGACTTCTCAACTCTGTGACCAGAAAAGTGGAGGTTTGTTCACCATGAACGAGGAAGAGAGAAAAAAATCAGAGCAGGAAGTCTCGTCAGAATAAGAGCACCATGTCAGGTCTGCTGTAATTCCACCTTGTGATGTAAGACATGAACGCTCTCTCTGGATCACTAATGACAAATGGGACAACTAGTTGGTGAGGTAATGCCTGGTTCAGAGAGGCTGAAACAGAAAAAAACCGTGGGAGAGTTTGTCATTCACGACATGTTGCAGAGGTTGGTCAACATGTCAACAGCTGCACAGTTTCTTTAATCTGAATCAGTCTGGTACCAAAATGCAACAATAAACTTTTCCTTGTGTTGCTTGTTGCTGTTTATTTGTTGCTTTTGATTGTTGCTGTTTCCTGTGTTGATGATGATTTTTGTTATGTTTACTGCTGTTCAGTGATTCTTGCTGTTTGTTGTTCCTTTTTCTTGTGTTGTTATTTGTTCCTTTCATCATGTTATTATCATTTGCATTGTTGCCGTTCATTGGTTATTGCTTGCTGCGTTTTGCAGTGTTTTCCTGTATTTGTGTAGCTGTTTTATTGCTTTTCTATTTGTTGTTACTGTTCATTGGGTTATAATCATTTATTGCTTCCATTTGTCGTGTTTTGTCGTGATGTTGCTATTTTTCTTGCTTGTTACTTTTTGACATTTGAGGCTTTTGATTCTTGGCTGTTGTGGTTGTGTTGCTGTTGTTTCGTGTCTTGTTGCTGTTTTTCGCAATGTTGTCTTTTACTGTATTTACGTTTTAACTTTAAGTTGTGCTGTTACATTTTGTTGCTTTTTTAATAAATTTGCTTTTCATTGTTTTGCTTTTTGCAATCTGTCACTTCATTCCTTTGTGTAGTTTCTTTGTTGATTTCTTTTTGTTACCGTTTGTGTTGTTACTTTCAACCTTTGAATGTTCTCTTGCAATTTTTCATGTCATAGATGTTATTGAGAATGTTGATGCATGTAGCTTTGTTGATATTGACATGGGCTGTATCATATTTTCTTGTTTATAAGTGTTATATTGCATTGTTTTTATTTGTTGTGATGTTGCTTTCTGCGTTTAGAAAGACAGCGCTTGATGTGTTTTTTATATAAGTGAGGCTAGTTATTTGTGTTTTTCATCATTTTTTTTCATGTTGGTGCTTTTTGCTATCGTTTTTGTTCTGTTTTTACCTTTCACTATCTAATACTTTTTTTTGCATTGTTATCGAGTTATTTTGTGTCGTTAGTTATGTTGCTATTTTTTGCTTCTGTAAATTGGATACTCTGTTTTGTAATATTTTAATGACCTTGTGGTTGAAGCCCTTTGGTTGAATCCTTTGGATTTTTCCCCTATGAGTGTTCAGAATTGTTAGGACAAAGGAGCATTTTCATCACAAACTCTGCTTCTCTGTTGTGATTTTTGTTTATTCGCATGGCATCGCATCAGGCTCCAGACTTGATCTGAGAAAAGAAGCACTGCATTCGCCTCGATCTCCAGGAAATTGAGATTTTCTGGTTTTAAGCAGGAAAGGCGAGAAGCGTGAGAGAAGGCAGCTGCATGCATTTTGAGGGATTTCAGACACAGTTGTAGCTGCATACAAACGTGTTGCATGTTCGTAAAACAAGAATTTTTGCAGCGAAACGTGAGAGACTGTAAAATCATTTTGAACTTGCTACAGTTTGTAATTTCAGAGCCCCCAAAACAACATGGCAACTCTCCAGACTTTTTCACTTTCATTTGA